AGAAAATTTCTTCATTTATTATCTCAAGAATTTAAATAAAATCATCTCATGAGACCTCGTTCAAATGATCAAAAGGAGCAAGTAAGATGATCCTCGATCCTTGAATCATGTTATCTTCTACTGATTACAATATGTATTAAATTTCAAGAGAAATAACAAACATATGGAATCGAGTCACATGTCGCCGTTATCGAAATGTATACAAAGAAGAAAAAAAAACTTTGTGCACCACAGAGTTAACTAAAGATTAGCTTTGCCGGAACAAAGGCATATACTACACAAGCCACAGATGTTCCAAGGAATCGAAATAAATAAATTTAAAATAATAAAATGAACAGTATTGCTAAGATGGGTTTTAAACCATTTATCTAATTCCAAAAAACCTTATATCATAACCAAGATTAGCAGCATTATGAATCAACTTTAGCAGACAGAGACAGCTTTAGTATAAAACTAACTAACCTTAAGAAATAAATCGTATAGGGTCAAAAATAGATTTTGTCGCTATCATAGATGTAAGACTAGTGCTTGCCGAACCCCTCAAACCTAAGTCAGGCTTTATCCTTGTTGAGCGCTGCGGAAGCCAAACAACCAAACCAACGTGTTACGGTAAATCAAATCAAACGAACGTCGAGAGCAGGTCAAACGAACCAAATCAATGCCACAAACACAAACAACCAATTTTAACGTGGTTTGGTAAGTTGCCTACGTCCACGGGATAAGAAGAGCATAGTGTTTTTCACTAATAGAGAAGAAGAGTACAAACTGAGATTACAAATTACTCAAACTCACAAATTAATCTCACAAACAAATCTCTAATTCTCTCCAAACAAAACCCTAACCAATAGCTCAGAAAATATCCCTTTTTATGCTCTAAATATCCCCAATTTTCTTCTCAATTCTCTCTTCAAATTGTTCCATATATATAAATCCTAAAATTATAAACATACTAGGAATTCTAAAACAAAAAACAAAACAGATTAGGAATCCTAATAACATGTTACCAAAACAAATTAGGAAACATATTAGGAACCTGCTATCCAACAATTCTCCACCTCGGCAAAGTTTTTCCAAAACTGAGCCGACACCAATACCAACCAAACGTCTTACTTGTTGCGTCCAGTACGAAGTGAAACAAATCCATGACAACGGACTCAATCCACAACAAGTCGAGAACCCAAATGAGAATGCGAACAAACTCCAAATGTCGGTATCAACTCACCAAACCGATTGCATCATAAATGACTGCCTACGTATCCTCTTGCGCAAGGAATCAAGCCTTCACGTAGTTCACCCAAACGGCTTCCAAAGGCCCTTAATCAAATAGAAAAGTTTGCAATTCTTCACCAATATCACCAACGGATCTGTAACTGGTAGCGCTCCCAATAGCCCCAAACTGAAACAAATTAAACACCTCCACCTGAGGTGAACCAATGGTCGTATCCAAAACATGTCCATCAGCTGCACTCGAATCCAAAATCAACTCATCATATGCATCCAAATCCAAATGATCTCTAAACTGTGTCACCTCAGCTAGAATCTCAAACGATACAGTATGATCTGGAGTATGTGGAGTAATCTCCACCCAATGTAAAGTAACATCACCCTCCACCCGCTGTGATATCCCAATGATCTGATCAACACTTTTCACCTACCGAGAGTCAAATGTGACATACCTGCTCAGAACAAAATCAGAAGCTCCTAACTGATAATCAAACGAACCTCTGAATCCCAAACGTGCAATCGGATCAAATCTCACATCCTCGAAGTGACCAAATGCTGGGTAACCAAATATCCGACGCAACCCAAAATCTGAAGCAGCTCCACCAGATCCAAAATCTCCACACGCAGCAGTCAGCAACCTATGACCAAGATGACCCAAATATGTCGAACCTCCAAAACCAAAACCAATGCTCGACAACCAACGCCGATCCCCCTCTAGTAAGGAATGACCCATCAAAACTGTCATCGCATCTCGTCGCCTCAATGTTTCCTCTCCAATGAAGTGTCTCAAACTGCCGTGAGCTAGGCACAAATGCAGAAAAGAACCCCTACTAAAATTAGAACAACGTGTTACCTTTTCGCCAATACACTTCCTCCACCTGTTGTTGACTTCTAGGACTTCATACCAACAGGACTTGGTTGCAACCCACAAATACCTAGAACAGTCCCCAACATAGGAAGCCAAATATCGATTATCTTCTAATGATGCCTCCTCGGAAGGCCCCCAAATGCTTGAATGAATACCACCTAGAAGACCTCTCAATCGTCGAATAGAAGTACTAAACTCCATCTCGGTCTCCTTGCTCATACCAATGTGCTCAAAGGACTCAATATACTGGTCAAAGCAATTCTCAATAATCCAATATTGTAATACCCCAACCCTTGAGAGGGTGATGTGATTAGTATTGATAGATTTGATTGGAATACTCATACCACCAAGATACATCTTCTTTTCGGGAACCCAACTCTTAGAAACTCTAAAGTTAAGCGTGCTTGGCCTGGAGAAATTCTAGGATGGGTGACCCCCTGGGAAGTTTTCCAGGGGGCACGTAAGTGAGGACAAAATGTGCTGAAAAGACATGTGGTGATTTGTGAGGTCAGTCCATCAGATCTAATAGCGTACCGACTCCGGGATTTCGGGGCGGGGCGTTACAAATATCCCAGCCTCAACTCCTTTTTTCTTGGCCATCTATCTCAAAGCACCAACAAACCAATGCAGAACAAATGAAGAATAGATCCAAACTGATAAAGGAGAGATTTTTACCTCCAATTGAAACCCTAACAAGAGCATCCGAAAGATCTCACCCCGCACGACAGAAACAAGATCCACAACTAGGAAAAATCTCATCTTTATCACCAACTGAAGCCCTAGACGAACTTCCAAAGCGATCTACTCCTCCAATTAGCCCAAGCTCTGATACCACTTGTTATGCACAGCGGAAGTCAAAACCAAACTGATGTGCTTCGAGAGACCAAATCAACCAAATTCCGAGAGAAGGCCAAACACAATCAAAATAATGGCAACAATACAAACAACCAATTTTAATGTGGTTTGGTAAGTTGCCTATGTTAACGGGGCAAGAAGGGGATAGAGTTTTTCACTAATAGAGAAGAAGAGTACAAACTGAGATTATAAATCATTCAGACTCACCAATTAATCTCACCAACAAATCTTTAATTCTCTCCAAACAAAACCCTAATCAATAGCTCAGAAAACACCTCTTTTTTGTGCTCCAAATATCCCCAATTTTTTTCTCAATTCTCTCTTCCAATTATTCCATATATATAGAAATCCTAAAATCATAAACATATTAGGAATTCTAAAACAAAAAACAAAACAGATTAGGAATCCTAATAACTTGTTACCAAAACAAATTAGGAAACATATTAGGAACCTGCTATCCAACAATCTTGACCTAGTTTCGAGGTAAACCGGTTCTTCTTGAACAAAGAGGGGTGTTTCAAAAAAGAACACATTTAATGCTTTATTTTCAGCTTAACAAAAAGAGCTTTGCTACAAGGACCCAAAATATAGGACCAATAGAGGGAACAAGTGTGGTGTTCCTCCTCCTATTGGATAATGATGACCAACTCATTATCCAATAGGAGGGGGACACCACACTTGTCCACCCATTGGTCCCATATTTTGGGCCCTTAAGGAATTTTTCTAACAAAAATGAGCTTTGCTACAGGGACCCAAAATATGGGACCAATAGAGAGGACAAGTGTGGTGTCCCCCTTCTATTGGATAATGAGTTGGCCATCATTATAGCGTCTCCAATGGAGCGTCAAAACTCCATTTTGGAGTGTTTTGACGCTCTAATGGAGCGCCAAACACCACGCTTTGCGTCAGAAAATGGCGCAACACTGTAGCAATGTCGCAGTTTTTTTTTTTTGTTTTTTTTCTTCTAAACTTTATTCTTTTATTCATATTTTCTTTTCTTTTTGCTTTTTTTTCTAAACTTTATTCTTTTTGCTTTTGTTTTTTATATTTATATTAATAATATATATTATCTTATATTAATTATTATAATAAAATTAGAGTATAAAATAATTATTAGAATAAAATTCAAAAAGAAATAAGAAAAACTACACCATTTAGATAAAAATTAGGACATAAAAATATAATGCCTTTTATTTTTATTTTTTGCTTGCAAGTGTGATGTTTTTTTTTGTGATGTTAAATGTAATCTTTAGTTGAATTTATGAAAATAATATTTTAATTTGATTTAACATTTAATTTGTATATTTTTATTTTATTCATAAAATATATTATTATAATTAATTATATGTAATGTATTATATAATTACACAATTTGTTAAATATTTTAAATAGATAAAATGTTAAAAGATAAGAATAATAAAAGGAATATTCTTTTTGGGGTAAAATTTGGTGTAATGGGTTGGAGATGAAATAATGATTTAGTGTAAAAACTATACCAACTTGATGTAAAAACTACACCATTTTGAGTTTTGTGGTTGGAGATACTCTTAATGATTGCCAACTCATTATCCAATAGGAGTGGAACACCACACTTATTCAATAGGAGGGGGCCAACTCACTTTAGAATCGGTCCAGTTTTAGATATCAGTTGTCATAATTTCTCTACGATGGCACTGCTCGAATTTCACACAAAGAAATTGGAGCTTATATCGGATACAATTACAACAATAAATTATTTTTAATTTACATGGCATCATCATAACGCACAAGTTGTATATATCGGCTGGTCTTTCTTTATTAGTTCTGTGGAAACAAAATAACTTTACGTTAATTAATTAATAAGTTGAATTTTCTAAATATCAGTTTCCAAAGGGGTCCAAATACAAATTTCCACTCCCCAAATAATTGTGGATCATAATTTGTACTAGATTGTGCTGGCACTACAAGCACGTGCCGTTACAGGGTCAAAAACGTCAACAACAAAGTATTTAAATTTAGAACTTTTAGAAGCAAAATATTAGCCTCTCTTCTAATAACCACGCCGGGAGCTGTCCGCTAATAAATATTCAGCGTCACTCGCCAAATAAAACTTTACTTAAACCCCCAAAAAAGAAAGAAATAAATAAAATGCAAAAATAAACTATATTTTCTCTCTATAAATATCATTTCCCCCTCATGCCTTTTCTCTCGTTAACTGAAAGCCTTGCATCTCTTTCTCTCTCCTATTTTTTGGGATCCCAAGAGAAGAGAGAGACTGCATTTTCAGGGTTAGGGTTTCGGATTTCAACAAGGTAAGCTTGCTTCTTGCTTCTTTTTTTTTTAGTGAATTTTTGCTTCTATCTAGTTTTCGTTTGAATCACATGCTCCATTTTATTGCGTTTAACTTCTATTTTTGGCAATATTTTTTTTTATTTTTACGTAATCGTTTACATTTGTGTTTGCATTCGTTGCTGCTATCATGCTCAAAATTTCTCCAATTTTACGTATTTTTTCCCGAGATTTATGACTTTTTCCAAAGGAAACGAGACGACATTTCATTTACTTAATTTAAGAATTATTTGGGGTTTTTTGTAATTTTCAAATTTTGAAGAGATTCTCAGTTTAATCAATAAAGCACTGCGTTTTTTAAAAAAAATTGAGAGCATTTTTTTCAGCTTTTTATTCGATTATGGTATTATTCGTGACCATTTTTTTTTGGGTTCTCTAGTAGCTAAAAAAGTGTTTTTTGCTGACCTTTTTGTCTTTTACCTACTTTGTAATTTTTTTTTTCTTGAGGTAGTTTTGACATTCTGTTAATTTCTGGAACTTATCAAGGCATTATCAATTTTTCGGTGGTTTCTTTTGATTTCTTTAAAATTTTCAGTTACTACTTTCTAACTTTCTAGTTTTTATGTGGTCTCCTAAAAAATTAATTTATCATCATCTGCATGATTTAGCTAATCCAGCTTATACCCCCTTTTTGGAGTAGTTATAATTAATGTCTTTATACACCATTATTCTAATCTTGCGTTTTTAAGATAAGCATTTTTGTTTGTCTTTTATTCTTTTCAGCAGTTGGCTGCTAGAAGGAAGAATTTAGAGCACTTATCCTTCAAGGCAAGGTTTGGTGAAGGATTGATAGTTAGTTTACCCGTTATTGTAATTTTCCTTTTCTTTTGTGAAATGGAAGGATTCTCGTTACTTTTTTTCCTTTAATAAATGGGGGTTATTTGTTAATTCATATATAGAGACTGGATTTGGTAAACCTTTTAATTTCCGGGATTAACTCATCTAAGCTTTTTGTCATTTTCATGTTTGACAAATTAAGATGAGTTGGGCAACTTTTTGTGTTTGACAAGTAGCCAAAAGGTTTTCTCAATGCATTTCTCTCTGCAACTGGTTTGGTGAGCTTATTGAAGAACTTATTGTCTTTATCTATCCATAGAAAAATTTTAAATGCCTTGATTGCCCCGGAAACCTCCAAATCCTTTAGAATTTCTTTGGCATTTTCTACAGTTTTCTCACCAGCTTTATGTGCTACTATCATTTTCCCCCTCTATGTTTGGATCATCATTCGAACACTAACAATTAAAGCCAATGTGTTCAGTAGTCTTTATCCTGTTTGCAATTTCTACCTCCTTGTTTTCTCCTATATTAAAGAATCCTCAAATGCTCATTTTTATGCTTTCTGATCTCAGTTGGTAGAAGAATCTGAGAAGAGTGTTACCGGTTTGGTAACATGGCATGTTCATTTGGACCCTGGTTATGTATTCTGCTCCTGCTGTGCTGTATACTAAACGGGGAAGCAGATTATGTCAAATACAAAGATCCTAAACAGCCATTAAACACACGGATTGAAGATTTATTGGGGCAAATGACTCTTGCTGAAAAGATCGGCCAGATGGCTCAGATTGAGAGAAAGGTAGCATCTGCAGAAGTAATGAAAGATTACTTCATAGGTAAATTGAGAATATTTGCCTATTTATTATACAACCCAAGAGGACGAGTACTATATGTTTAACTTTGAGTTTTTCTGCAGGGAGTGTATTGAGTGGTGGAGGTAGTGTACCTCGGCCTCAAGCTACCGCTGAAGATTGGGTTAACATGGTAAATGAATTCCAGAAGGGGAGTTTGTCAACTCGTCTTGGGATTCCAATGATTTATGGAATTGATGCAGTCCATGGTAACAACAATGTGTACAAGGCAACGATATTTCCACACAACATTGGGCTTGGAGCTACAAGGCACGTATTCAGCTACTGGCCATTATCATAACCATCAGAACCATTGCTTTCTCCTATCAAAGATGGATAAATTTTGGCATAAGGCAACGCAAAGAGCATTCTTTTAAGGAAAAAAAAAAACTATGTTTTGACCTTCTCTTTGAAAAGAAATATTTCGATATTATCTTTAATAAATTGTTGATACCTGTTTCCATTTTTAGTACTTTTTATATTTTATATTTTATATGGTTGCTTAAATATTATTTTGTTTCTGTGGTTTATGGACCACATCTTATTAGTAGGCATGGGAAACTTCTTTTTGCAGGAAAGAAAATATCTAACTTTTGGAATTGCCTCATTTAGCAGCTGTAAGAACTGCAAATTTAAATGATCTGTAGATGCTGCAATGTGCAATTGAATATTTGCCATCCCTTTCTTTGAACTTGTAGTATCATATTCTTAAAGAAATTTTGACAGAAATTAGCCTGTTATCTGTTCAAATTGCACCTGAAGTATCTTACGTAACCTCCCTTAAAATGAAATTTGAAAATTATGAGAAAGCTTTGTTATTGCGTAGTTCTATTAAGCATCAGGTGTTTTCATCAATCTTACTTGATTCTAATTGTGTTTAGGGATTCTGAATTAGTGAAGAAAATTGGTGCTGCGACTGCTCTAGAAGTCAGGGCAACAGGCATTCAATATGCTTTTGCTCCCTGTATTGCAGTATGCTACTAGCCATGAACCTTCCACTTCCATATCTATAGTTTCAACTCGACTCATAATTAAAAGGCATGCCTTTATTTTAATAGAAGATTTCTTTGAATCTATTCAGGTGTGCAGAGATCCTAGGTGGGGTCGATGCTATGAAAGCTACAGTGAAGACCATACAATTGTGCAACAAATGACTGAACTCATCCCTGGGTTACAGGGAGATATTCCTGCTAACTCTCCCAATGGCGTGCCATATGTTGCTGGAAAGTAAGACTTCTGCATCTATTTACCACGTGATTAAAATTTTACAGTTCTATTACTTACTGTCTCTCCTAACCACATTTTTATTCCCCATTATCTATTTTGTTCCCAAATATTAAAACCGTGTAGTTCCTGTTTGAAAAATTTTGGCGAGAAGCTGAAAGTGCAGCAATGATGATATGCTGCATGGACTACATGCTATTTGGCATGAAGCATATACTTGGTTGCACTTGAATCTTTGAAGAATTATCCGATAGGCAACTTGTTAAGGATTGAATTCTGTTAAATGTGGCTGTTCTAACAGCTGACTGGAACTATGATAATGCATATAAATGCTTGGTTACAGTTGGATAGAAGATATACTAAGCAATAATCTGGACAGGTGGTAAGGCACATAAATACTGGTGGCATTTGGAATATCTTAAGAATCACTTGCTAGTAATCTTCTAAGGAGAGGAATTGTGTTTTGCTTGATTCTATTTGAGATTGAACATCATACTTGTTCTCTAACAATGATATCTCACAATGATCTCTCTATAAATGGGACTTTTCAAGTGTTTCCTTTCTTAAAAATATTGAAATTTATTGCTGAACAGTGACAAGGTTGCAGCCTGCGCCAAGCATTTTGTTGGTGATGGTGGGACACATGATGGAATCAATGAGAATAATACAATCATTGATCAGCACGGATTATTTAGCATTCACATGCCTGCTTTCCACAACTCTATCATCAAAGGTGTCTCTACTGTCATGGTGTCTTACTCGAGTTGGAATGGAATAAAGATGCATGCTAACCATGATCTTATCACTGGCTACCTGAAGAACAAACTCCATTTTAGGGTATACATACCGTGCAATGCTTCCTTTATAAGACTTTCTTGCACAAACTCCTTTTCAGTTTGCTGCTTGAGTTGTGTGGTTGACTGTTGAGCATCAATAAATTTTCAGGGGTTCGTCATATCAGATTGGCAGGGGATTGACAGGATCACATCTCCTCCCGGTGCAAATTATACATACTCTGTCCAAGCTGGAGTTAATGCTGGCATTGATATGGTAAGGAGCTCTAATATTCATATTAAGCTATAATTACAAGCCATGGAAAATTTCGTATAATTTCTATTAAGTTGTTGTCTGTTGATTCCCTTCTAATGGGGCTGTTGGGTTGTGGGAAGTTTAAGATCCCTTATAACTCGCAGATGGAAACGGGGGAAAGGTGCTGTTGTGTTTTAGTTATATTTTCTTTTAAAGATAACTCAACTTGTGTACATTGCACAATTCATTTGTTTTTAAAATTTGTATGAATAAGTGCTAGGAAGTCTACCCAATAACTGAACTTGAGAACTACATTCCATCGTTTTTGCAAATTGATGTATGTATCTCATTGTTTCATGGTAATGTGGAATATTATTATTCCAAATTGAACTCGAGAACTACATTCTATTGTTATTGCAAATTAAGAACTACATTCCATTGTTATCGCAAATTGATGTATCTGTCTCATTGTTTCATGGAAATGTGGATTATTAATATTCCAAATTATATAATGTGATACTGCTTACATATACTAATCTGCCACTGAGCATGAACGTTATGTTTTATTCTTTGCCCTGATCATTTACTTATGTTTCTGCCGGTTGATGTTTGGTATAGGTGATGATTCCCAACGACTATAAGGAATTCATTAATGACTTGACCTCTCTTGTTGAGAAGAATATCGTCCCCATGAGCAGAATTGATGATGCTGTGAGAAGAATTTTGCGAGTCAAGTTTGTCATGGGCCTCTTTGAGAACCCTATGGCGGATCTTACCTTCGCTGATCAGTTGGGGAAGCAGGTCATTTATTTTAAGAGTATCATAGTTATGTCAGCTATTTAAAAAATTCAGTTGCTAAGAAACATGTCATTGAATTTAACAGGAACACAGGGAGTTGGCAAGAGAAGCTGTAAGGAAATCACTTGTGCTGTTGAAAAATGGAAAATCTCCTAAAGAAAAATTGCTGCCCCTTCCTAAGAAAAATGCAAAGATCCTTGTTGCTGGAAGCCATGCTAATAACTTGGGTTTGCAATGCGGTGGCTGGACAATTGAATGGTATGGTGCCAGCGGGAACAATACAGATGGTGAGTGAGTATGTTACTTCCTCATTTCATTTTCCTTTTTCTAGTTTCCTAAGTAATTGCTTCTCATAGATTCTTAAAAGTTTATAACCTCTTTCAACATTGATATTATGCACATTTGTCTAAAATTGCCTTGAAGCCATGCATAATGAAGGAAGCAGGGGGGAAAGGTTAAGCAAATTAATAACAACCTTTTCTGCTATAATCTGTGAATGTTATGCACTCCTGAACTCTGGCCTGTGAGATCACAGTCATCGTACCTGGCATTTTTTCGTGCATCATACATAAGACAAGTCTACAATCAGCGTGTGGTAAGTGGTTACTATGGAAAGGCAGTTGCAATTTCTTGCATCATACATAAGCAAATTAATAATGAACATTACCCTTTGTATGGAGTTGCAATTTCACGACCTCCATCCTTTAGCATGTGGAAAGTGATAACCACGGAAAGGTGGCTGCATATGGAATTATCAGCCTTTCCATTGTGAGAAATAAAATTTCCTTTGAAGCCGGTATGATGTATATGGCTATCAAGCGAAGGTGTTTATTGAATGCCTTTTAGTTTGATTCGCATTATGTGACCTTGAACTGGTTCAGTGAAAGAATTCCGTACTTTCAAGTGGCCTTTTAATGTAGGCATCTCTTCAGATTTTGCTTTTCTTTTCATGGCAAGTTTTTCCTTTATAGCTAGGGGTGGAAATGAAACAAATAATTAACAAATAGTTCGATAATTTTTCAAGTTACCATTCAATCATATTCGATTCGGTAGTTTATTTATCACTAAACAAATATTTTTTAGTATTCGAGTTTACTAACGAATAGAATTTAACCAGCCTCACTTGCTGAGACCCAAATGAGAGTGCGAACACTCACCCCAAATGTCGATGTCGCTCACCAAATCGGTTGCATCACAAAGACTGCCTACGTATCCTCTTGCCCAAGGAATCAAGCCTTCACGTAGTTCACCATATGGGCCTCCAAAGGCCCTCAATCCAATTTGCGGCTGATAGCATCATCAACGACCCCAAACTGAAACGATCCAAACACCTCCACCTGAGATGTAACAATGGCCGTATCCAAAACATATCCATCAGCTGCATCCAAATAGTCCTCAAATTGTAGCCTTCTGGAAGTCGTCAAGTTGTAACTTCCATCATCGGTGTTTGATGGGGGATCAACTATCTATTGTGATTTTTAGACAGCCTACATCAATACTCTCCACCTGCCGAGAGTCCAAAGTGACAAACCTACTCAGACCAAACTCAGAAGCTCCCAACTGATATCCAAAAGAACTCCTGAATCCCAACTGCGCAATCGGATCCAACCTCACATCAACGATGTGACCAAGTGCTGGGTAGCCAAATATCCGACGCCGACCAAAATCTAAAACAGCTCCACCAGATCTAACAACTCTACACGCAGCAGTCGGCAACCACATAAGATGACCCAAACCTGTCGAAGCCTGAATACCAGATCCACTGCTCGACAACCAATACCGATCCTCCTCCAGAAAAGAACGGCCCACTAAATCCGCCATCTCATCACGTCGCCCCACTGTCTCCTTCCCTCTGAAGTGTCTCCAACTGCCGTGAGCTCGGCACCAATGCAAGAAAGGACTCCTACTAGAATAAGTACGACTGGTAACCTTTCTGCCCATACACCTCCTCCAACTGTTGCGGACTACTAGGTCTTTATACCAACGGGACTTGGTTGCAACCCAAATATGCCTAGTACAATCCCCAACATAGGAAACAAAATAACGATTACCTCCCGATGATGCCTCCTCGGAAAGCCCCCAAATGCCTGACTGAACACCTCCAATAAGACCTCTCGATCGATGGATAGAAGTGCTGAACTCCACCTCGGTCTTCTCGCTCATACCAATGTGCTCACATGACTTCAATCTGCAGGTCATAGCACTCCTCAACAATCTGTGCACGGTATAACCAACAATATATCCCAGCACCAAACAATGCCACAGTCTAGCCATAGAAGTAGTCAGCGCCCTATCAACTACCGTGCTCCCAAGTAGATAATACAAGTTACTCCGCCTGACTCCCTTCATCACAATTATGGACCCCGATGTGACCTTCAAGCGAGAATCCGCCAAGATCACCCTATAGCCTGATGCCTCCAATACCCCAAGTGAAATGATGTTCTTCCTCAGTTGAGGAACGAACCTCACATCAGCCAACTCCCGGATCATCCCGTCACTCATCCGAATCCGAACGGTACCAATACCACCAATAGGGCATCTGTGATCATTACCCATGAGAACAGCATCCCCTCTTTCCAACTCCTGAAAGCTGGAGAACCAATCCCTTCTAGGGCATATGTGGTAAGTAGCACCAGAATCCAACATCCACTCGGTGGAGTCGGCAACATCAACTGACGGAAGAGCTGGGCACGAATAGCCCGAAGAATCTGAATCTGAAACATCGCCACTAGCCTTGGCAATATTAACTTAAATACTATTTGAAAATTAAATTCTCTTGCGGAATAAATATAGTTTGATATTCTATAAGTATTCGTGAGTATTCATGAATATTTATCAAATACCAAGTATTCGAGTTCGAATTCGAAAAACTCCATATATGAATATTAGAGTCCGCATTCGAATTCAATAATTTTAAACAAATACAAATAGGAACACCTTGGTATTCGATTCGATTGTTTACCACCCCTTTATAATTACCATATTGTTTTAAAATGTATAAGGCATGATGATGAGTGTGACCCAGGATATTAAATGTTCCCTAATTTTCATTATCGGGCTTGTCATTAAATGTCTTTTTTTTCTCTCTGGCCATACCCTTAATTTTCTTTGTTTGTCATTTATCGTTCCCTAATAAAGATCTTCATTTATAGTAGTCTTGTAAGTTGTAACATAAAACCTGTTGTGTGGATGAACTTGTATGGTGAGCGTTTATTGAGAACGAATTCCAAGCACTTTACTACCCAGAAGCTTGCAAGTTGGAGCTCAGTGATTTGTTCATCAGGTGCCTGTTGTTAATTTCCATTTTCCACTCAAATGATAATGATGAAACTCAAAAATTTTGAATCCAGAATAAATATATGTACCAAAAAAACCTCAATTGTTTTGCCCTTGAGTAAGTTTATATTTTATATTTTTTTCTACCAAAGACAGAAAAATGATTCTTAAGGAAACAGTGATAATTAAGGTGCATTACACGAGTAGAAGAGACACATTGAACTTGTCACTTACAAAATACATATAATTAGTATGGCTCGCGTATTTATATCTTGCAAGAGAAAGCTAATGACCTTGTAAAATACTTTACATTCTTAATTAGCAACTAAAGGTAAAATGACTGCTTCTAACATTATTATCACTGTAAAGGACATAATGATACAGTGTAACATATTGAAAGCCTCTTATATTCTTTCATATAGGTACAACAATCCTTCAAGCAATTCAATCCACAGTTGACCCTTCAACCGAAGTTATCTACTCTGAGAATCCTGACACAAACTTCATAAAAAACAACGGTTTCTCTCATGCTATTGTTGTGGTTGGAGAACCCCCGTATGCTGAAACTTTTGGAGACAACTCCAATCTAACACTCCCAGAACCAGCTCCAAGCACAGTTCAGAATGTATGTGGTTCTGTGAAGTGTGTTGTGATCATAATCTCTGGCAGGCCTCTAGATATCCAATCCTCTGTGTCATCAATGGATGCTCTCGTTGCTGCTTGGCTTCCTGGCTCTGAAGGTCAAGGCATTGCTGATGTTATATTTGGAGACTATGACTTCACTGGGAAACTTTCTCGAACTTGGTTTAAGTCTGTTGATCAGCTTCCTATGAACTTTGGAGATGAGCATTATGACCCATTATACCCGTTTGGCTTCGGTTTGACAATGAGAACATCAAATGAGACGAATTTAATAGTAGCAAGGTAGATAACAGGTTTACTTCTACAATACGGGATGGTGTGTCCCCTTCATAATGTCATTGTTGCTTCTATCTTCCAAAGATTAATGAAAAAAAGTTACCATTCTGCTGCTTATTTTTTTTTCCATTTCATATGATTCTTTGTAGGTCAATATCTGCTGCTGGACTTGTGAGGAAGGGGGCTAATGGGATGGCCTCTCTAATTTTCAGCCTCTTGGTTACATTGATCCTTCACAAGGCTAGATAGCCGTGTTTTGTTATTGATACTATACTGTCAGCATTCGTCCTGCCTCGAATGTCTTCCGAGGCTTTTCTACATATATCATGCCTTCATTGTACTTCGAATGGTATCACGGATATTATTTGGCACGAAATTGTTTGTGCTGCTAATTTCATGTTTTGTTTTAAAATGAACTGTTATTCATCATATTTCAGATATCTTTAGCGGCTTCTACCTTTTTCAGATGCTTTTCCTAGTCTTTTATGACTCGGTGGATATTATTTTGGCACGGTCTCGTGTGTGCTGTTAATTTCATAATCTGTTCCCAATTTCAAACGATGCTACGTAGCGGTATCGGTTGTTGTTGTGAGTTCTCGTATTAACATAATTTGCTCTCAATTTCAAATGACACTATGATACCTGGGAGCGGTACCGGTTGTTGTTGTCAGTATCAGGAAGTAGGGAAATTTTGAAAAATGGATGCACGAGGTATTTCCAGCATAGAACCTTAAAACTTTTAGCAGGCTACCAAAGTGACACGAGCTGGAAAAAGGGACACAGACACGCTGCTTTACCCTAGTCATTATTCTACACAGCGGTGTTATTAGGATACAGAACTTCTCAGCTTATATGGTCTTATGCTTGTACATCAGATTACGGGGGAAAAGAGCTACTTCTTTCACCAAAACACAAACACACAAGCTGCGTGCATATTTACTGAGCACCTCCCTCAGCATTGGCCTCCTCTTTCGTGCTCTCCGCTGCCTGAACCTTTTCAGCTCCTTGCATCATCTTGAGGATATCTGCTTTCTTTGCCCGTAAAGCTTCAATCTGTGTGTCGATCTTTTCTAGCTTCTGCTTCAGCTTCGCAGCATCTTGCGGCTTCTCCCTACCATCTTGCTTCTTCCTCTTCTTCTCGCCCTTTTCCTTCTTTTTATCGTCTTCCTCGTCTGCTTCTTCGTCCCTAGACTCCTCGCTTTTCTCCTTCTTCTTCGCTTTATCTTTCTCTTTCTTCTTCCCCCCCTTCTCTTTCTCATCCTTCGACTCTTCTCCAACCTCTACTTTGAGATCTCTAGACTTGCATTCTTCTTTCTTAACTTGGGCCTCTTCCTCCAAGTCTTCATCCTTGGTTTTCTTTTCCTTTCCCTTTTCCTTCTTTTCTCCATCCTTGTCCTTCTTCTTCTTCTTCTTCTCTTCATCTTTACTCTTCTTCGCTTTCTCCTCTTTCTCAGCCTTCCCTTCCCCTCCTCCATCCTTCTCATCCTTGTCCTTCTTCTTGCTCTTGTCCTTAATCTCACCATCTTTGTCTTTCGTTTTCTCTTTCTTCTCTTCCTCCTTGGCCTCGTCCTCAGCCTCGTCATCCTCGTCTCTCTCTTCCTTCTTCTTCTTGGTCTTGCTCTTGTCCTTGGGCTCCTTTTCCTTGTCTCCCTCCTTGACCTCGTCCTTCTTCGTCTTCGATTTTTCATCTTTGTTCTTCCTTGTTTCCTCCTCTCTCTCTACTTCTCCTTCCTTGTCTTTCTCCTCCTCCTCCTCGTCCTTCTTCTTCTCTTTCGCCTTGGTCTCATCACCCTCCCCCTCCTCATCTTTCTCTTTCTTCTTCTTGCTCTTCTTGTCTTTGGACTCTGCATCTTTACCCTTTTCCTTGCCTTTCTTCTTCACCTCTTCCCCGCCCTTCGGCTCTTTCTTTAGCTCCACCTTCTCCTCGTCCTCCTCCTCCTTCTTGCTCTTCTCCTTTTCTTCTCCACCTTTATCCTTCTTCTTCTTCTTCTTCTTCTCCTCCTCTTTTTTCTCCAACTTGATTTTCTCCGCAGATCTCACCTTGATCTCTTCCTCCTCTTCTTTCACCCCCCCGTCCGCTTTCTCTCTCCTCTCGATTTTCACTTCGAATTCCTCTTTCACACCCACCCGTTCCTTCTCACCCGCCATGGCCGACTGTAACTCCTCCACCACCACCCCAATTCAAGTCCCCTGCAACAAATAATCAAAACATTTACCAAGATCTAATACGATCCAATCCAATCCAATCAAATTGAGCTAAAATTGATCAAGAAACTGGAGACTGACCTTGATTAGTTTGCCGGAGAGAGAGAGAGAGAGAGAGAGAGAGAGGGCCGTGTTAATTTATTTCTAATTGGTGTATATTTATAGAGGGGGGGAGGGGGTGAAGAGAGAAGGACGGTGGACGCAACGACCGCGTTGCTGCAGCTTGGACCCCGACGCTGTCTTAGACGGTGGAACGTGTGGGTCCCAGTGGTTGATCCTTCAAGAACGTCGAACCGGACCCACTGAACCCACTGGATTTTGAATAATATCCTATTTTAGCCGATTTGTAGTACGGTTTATATATATGAGGTAACTGTAACGGCTGTGAGGAACTGAGGATATACACTCATCTTTTTTCCTTCTTGAGTGCGCTTGAAGTTTATACAAACAAAAATGACTCAGTGACCCCGAATAGGGACTCTAGGAGGGACATGTGAGGTGTACCCCTGAATGCATGATACACCTTACATGTTCTCCCTTTGGGTTCCCTATTTCGGGTCCCTATAGCAGCAACCTTATAGGAAAACTTAAGAGGCTAAATACCATGACACCCCACTTAACTTTGGATGATTAATTAGAAAACTCTTCTTAACTTTCAAAATATTAGAAAACCTCTCCTTAAATTTAGTGGTTACCGAAGAACCTATTTAACTTTGATATTTTATCGGAAAACTCATCTATCGTAAGTAAAAGAGGTTCTCTCATAAAATCTCAAATTTAAAGGAGATTTTCTTATAAAATCTGAAAGCTAGAGAGATGTTTTGTGATAATCCCTGTACTTAAAAAAGGGAGTTCTCTAATATTTTGGAAGGTAGAGGGTTTTCTAACATGTACGCAAAAATGAATCTTGTTGCTGAAACTGACACCGAGGAGGTGATCGACCTCGTTCACAGTGTGACGACGTCATATCTTTATCTTAACATCATTTCCCGAATTCGAGAAGCTTGTACTTTCTGGAGATGGCTTTCCAGTTCTTTTGTTCAAAAGCTTGAGGTGCTGTTACCTAGTTTGAAATTATGAAAGCCAAGTAAGCCCAGAGGCTAATATACCATATTTCAATTTCATTTGTCTGGAATAGAATATCCAAATATAACCAAATATCAACCATAAAAGTAGAGGCATTATTATCTGGTTTTATGGTTTATTTCTTCACTGAAATACATTGCCAAAACTTGATACATCTTGCAACAATTTTTCTTCATATTTTTTACAAAAGGAAAATTCAATGATTTTGTAAAGAAAATGGTTGAATATTAGTCTCGTTTGATCAGTAGAGGCGTAGGAGTGCAATTATATTATAATCTATAAAACATTTTCACAAGTTATGTGGTGTACCTACCATTGTAAAAGGGGTCATCTTTTTCCCCCAACAAACAACTTACATTCAGATTGTTCATTAAAGCCTACCATAAAAATAACTTTCTATATAAAATACCATAACTATAAATGCAATTTTTTTAATTACAACTTGAGTTATAAATGTAATTCTTTACGAACAATTTTCGGGCTCTGACAACTCAATCCAACAAGACACATTGAGTTTGGGCTTTTCATTTCATGGGTTTGGTTCCCAAATAGAAATAGGGAAATGAGTTGTAAAAGAGGTCTCCATGTCAGCAAATTGGCAAATATCCATTTCCTTTCAAAATGAGAAGAAATTGTTTCCTTTTTTTTACCGTGACTTTGGCGCACACAAGAGTACAACTCAGGTCCCCCACGAAGAAGCAATACGGCTTTGCTATGTAACCTACTGAGACACCCCAAATGAGAGAAAATGGGTTGAAAATTCACTTCTTATTCATATAAAAAGGTGGTTCCTTGAGTGTGTACATAAGTATAGAAGTATGGTTCACAATAAAAAACTAGTGCCAACCAAATATTTTTCGACAAAATGGCAAGATTGGTATATTTTTTAGAGGCTTGGTGACATGTTGGTATATTTTCTTTTAGTTTTGTCAGATTGGTATAATTTTTCGACTCCGGCGCTATATAGGTCTTAAATTTGACCGGAGTTATTGTTCCGACCAGGACTGATGTGCTTTTTTTGTAAAAAAAAAAACCCCCCATCAAAACCTCCTCAATTTGTACGCAAAATGCAACTCCTTCACCAATGCCCACCAACTGTTCGACACAATGCCCACGAGAAACCTCATCACCTACAACCCAAAAAGCACCGCTGCAGAAGTATTATACGTCCTTCTCTTTTCAATGTTTTCTAGGTTTCTTTGATTCAATTTCCAAATACATTTTATTTCTCTGTGCAGGAATTGCTTCGTAGTCCTGGCCGGCCACCAGCTCATATAATTCGTGTTATAGAGGGATTTGAGACTGTGGTTTTCCGTTCAAAATTTGCTTCATGGCCTCAAACAACTGATATTGTCATATCTGAGGATGGCAGAGGCAAAGTTGCTGGTAACACAGCTTGCTAACCTTATCTTCTTGCTGTATTGACCATTTTTTTTATTTTTGTTCATAAGTTACTTGAAAGTTGTTTAAATTATTTGTATCCTTTTCTTATGTAGCCCTCCTAAAACGTCAAGGTTTAAATGTGAAGGGGCTTATGAAAGCTGCTCCTGTAAAGGAGGAACCTCAACCGTTCATTGACTGCACAGGCAATCTGTAGGTACTGTTGATGATCTTATAGTTTAATGTTTGACTATCACATTCTCAAAGCTATTAGCCCGTCATTCAGCAGTTACTGATAAATCTTCATGAGTAGCCAAGTTGATGTAGATCTTGAATATTTCATCCAAGGAAGGAACTGCTTGCTTGCTTTAATTTTGATGCTCCGACTAAAAGAAATTTATGCCTAACATATAGGTTTGGTGTGTAAATGGCAATGAGAAGACTCTTCTTTCATCATCTAGCCAGTCGAAGTTCTACAGCGGAGACTGCTATATCTTTCAATACTCATATTCTGGAGAAGAACAAGAGGAATATCTTGTTGGTACTTGGTTCGGGAAGAAGAGTGTTGAGGTAAAGCAAACAACTTATACATACTCATGCAGGTAAGGTCTAGAAAAACTTCCGTGAATGCAATGGCATGTGGTTCTAATGGTTCTGCTGCTCCTATTGGAAAATGTATATTATAACAAACCATATTAGTATTTACATTGACTAATATTGTTATGAATCAATGACATTAAATGGGTAACAAGGAAGATTGATGTAGACATTATTCTGAAGCATCTTTAAATACAGGAGGAGTCGAGGAGAGGACTGCAGCTATCACACTTGCTCGTGGACATTGTGTCGAACAGTTGGTGGGCATTGTGTCGAACAGTTGGTGATGAGGTAACAAGGAGATTAGAGTGTTGTAGTGATGAGGTTTCTCGTGGGCATTGTGTCGAACAGTTGGTGGGCATTGGTGAAGGAGTTGCATTTTGCAATACAGATAGAGGAGGTTGTTGAAGAGAAAGGGATTTTGGGTTGGGGGAGTTGAGATGAGAATGAAGGCATGGAGGGAGAGGGGGAGGTTGAAGAGGATGAGGAAGAGGAGGGACAGGGGGGTTAGGAGCAGGAAATTGTATTTGATGATGGGGTTTTTTACAAAAAATCCCATCAGGCCTGGTCGGAACAGTAACTCCGGCCAAATTTAAGGCCTATATGACGTCGGGTCGAAAATTTATACCAAACTGACAAAACTAAAAGAAAATATACCAACATGTCACCAAGCCTCTAAAAAATATACCAATCTGACAATTTTGCTAATATTTTTCCTATTGACCAAACAAGATAATAATATGTAAATAGATTTCCATCCATGTTTTTAGTGTGAACCAAATATCAAAAACATATTTCTAGAAAAACTAAAAAAACACTAGCAATGGGATTTTGCCGTGAAATGAGGTTTCTATCAAAAGTGGCAAACGAACCAAACAGGACCTTCAATGAGAATATATACGTAAATAAGTAAATAAGCGTCCCAAAATAACTACCACGTCAAATAAAATCCACTAAAATAACCCATTTTCAGAAAAATAATCCGCATCAAAACAAAGCTACCAAAATAACCGAGCGTCAAAACAAAGCTGACAAATTTAGCCTCAACGTCAAAATAAAGCTACTAAAATAATCCACGTCAAAATAAAAATAACAAAATAACCCAAGCGTCAAAATAAAGCTAACAAAATAACCCAAGCGTCGAAATAAAGCTAACAAAATTACGGGATTAATACCGATATAATAATATTGGTATTAATAATATTTCCTAAAATGAAATATAAAACTTATATATAACATTAAATTATAATAATACTTCTTAAAACGACAAATTTAAAAAAATACAAAATTTTAAAAGCATCATTTTTTCAATTTTATATAGCAAAACCGACCACATCTCAAAATAATCTGCAAAACCGACCCTTTTCTTCGGAAAATGGTCGGTTTTGGAGTTGTGATGTTTTTCGTGCTACACGGGACTGCAAATCTCGTGTAGTTCGGCCAGCAATTGAAATGCACGGGACTAGTAGCCCCGTGTGTTTTATTTTTCTTTCAAAAAGTCCCTGCTTAAAACCCGGGACTGATAGTCCCGAGTTTTAAGTAGAGACATTTTGGGGCATAAAACTAAGTGCACGGGACTACCAGTCCCGTTCTTTTCGGGGACACAAACGAAATTTACAGGACTAGCAGTCTCATGCACAAAACGTGCATGTTTCTGTTGCTCTGTTGCTTTTCCTGTCAATTCCCTGTATAAACTCAAATATCAAATCTAAAAATCATAAATTACACCATTGCATTTCCTGTCAATTCCCTATATAAACTCATATGTCAAATCTAAAAGATAAAAATACAGTAATAACTCATTTACAAATTCAACAAATCACACCACAAACTCATTTACAAATCCAACAAATCACGCCACAAACCAACTTACAAATCCAACAAATCACGCCACAAACCCACTTACAAATCCAATAAATCACATCACAGTCTCGGCTACAAATCAAAAAACCATCTCACATCCCGAAATATGTTTGTAATGTACATGCCAAAATAGGATTGTAATGTATATAACAATAATGATTAGTTTACATACATCCAAGAACTCTTCTCCTCCTCCTTTGTCTTCGGCCTCCTCCATCCCGACCTTCGACGAGTTCGTGATCCGGTTGCGTTTGTGGTTGTGACGGTCCAGCTCCGTCGTCAACACGTTGAGAAGGCCCAGCTTCATTGTCGTTTCTGCGTCGTCCTCGTCTTTGTTGTGGTCGACGTGTGTATACGAATTGCGTTACCTCTCGTCCATCATGAAGGTCTTCGTGAGTTCGGTGTAAGGCTTGGTGAAGCCTCCGTATTATTGACTGATATATTGATGCATGTTCCTGTGCTTCGGGATATGTACCTGTGAAGGATAATTCAAAAAATCTGAAATGCAAGAATTACTTTAAAATTCAAATTACATGATGTAAATTTCATATTCAATTCTATATTACCTGCTCGAGCCAATTCCATGCCATGATTTGCAATGGTTTGAATATCATCTATTGCTGATACATGCAATTTTTTTAAAAAATACAAGTTAGTAATATTGAGAAATACCAATAAAAATGGACTTAAAATAAAATTTGAAAATACTTACTAATTCTCTCTCATCTATACCCCGAGGCACATATCATTTTTGCAACTCAACAGGTGCTGTGGTCGCATAGAGTATCCATCTTCTGGTTATCCCCCAATACCAAGTGTAGTAAACCTGATTCCCGAGGAGTTGGTTCAATTTGTTCAACAATATAAAAATATCTATCATTCTATCTGTGTATACAATTTTGATGCTCAGTTGCCTAGTCCTTTTGTTGGCCTCCTTTCTTTGCCTTCCTATCTATTTTTTCAACAAATTCTGGAACATGTTGTGCAAGACCAAATTGTCGAAGCACGCGGTCCGGTACATGCATTTATACTATCTCGAAACATATTAGAGGACCTCTAGGTCTCTATATAACTGGGTATTCTATGCATACCAGGGGTAGATGATCGAGAAATTGGGTGTAGGGCTCCCATTCCATCTACAGAGTATTTCATATAATTGTTGCATATCATTAAAACCAAAGTTGATATATAGAAAAAAAAGCTCATTTTTATAGAAATGATACATGAAAAATTTTCATACGGTCAAGCTCATTTCGGTAGAAATATAATTGTCTAGCCGGGGTCTCATCATAACATTTTTGGACATTCCATCTGTGTTGTTTTTAAAATTCAGTACCACAATGATAACTACAATTATATTTGCTATGTTAAAAATATAATACATGTATCCCGGTAGAATTTATCCATCTAATTGTAAATTCACGCATAGTCTCGGCTTCAAGTGAAGTCTCTCCCATGCCCATACTTGCAGTAAGCTGAGACACCCTTTAAAGTCACTATTTTTCTGAATGCCACTTTGGACTTCTCTCTATATAGGTACACCAAAACGGCACTACCCCACGATAACGAACCACATGTGTCCAAGTCCTCGATGAGTGGTAACCACCTAGCATATTCACAACATTTCAAGTTATTAAAATAAGCTAATTCATGTCAATTTTTGTAAATACTAATTGCACATACTTGGCATGCACTTTATCTTTACTCGAATCTGGAAATAATATTGAACCAATCATGTGCATAATGTATGCACATACATGTTGCTCAATCAATATTTATGGCGCATCAATAGGCAACGGCATCGAGAAGGTCTCTTTGAACCACTTCAATTTAATATTTCCTCCAAGCGTTGACTCTGGAGCTACACCTAACAACTCATTAAACTTGTCCAGCCAAAAATGTCTATCACTGTCGGTAACGCAAGGACCAACATCAACAAATTCAGCTTGAGAAGTATTTATCCAATCCTCGTTATGAAACTCATTGGGTAACGGATCTTCAGCTTCCACATAATCATTGTTAACATTAAATTGTTTCATCCAACGGGAGTCATCATCGATTCCAGCTGTCACCTGCATGTTATCAATTTGCACGCCTTCTTCTTCAATATCTTCTGAGTCATCATTTGCTTCTTCTTCTACAATTGATCCGGTCGAAAGGTCACCCGTAACATGGCCCAAAGCGTCGTTAAATATAGTACTTGACATCCCACCAAGAGAATGACCACTTAAATGTTGTAGTTGAAACCACAGATCTTGACTTGGAGATGTTATAAAACCACTCGACTGATTGTCTAAGTCAAGCATCCGAGAAAACTCTCCTTGAGGTCGTGAAACTTGGGCAAATTCATGAATCGGATACTTCTCAATGAACAACTCAATTGACATTTGCTTCTCGACTAATTGTTTCATGTCACTCAATTCATCATCATCGGTAATCTCCACAGCAATAGTTCTACTCTCATTTATCGGACAATTGAAGAACACCTTAATTGCATGCTTTGCTTTATTAGTTTTAGTAACTCTGTGTATTTCATTCATCATTCCATCATTGAAAAAGCAAATAATGGGTATAGAGTTTGCTATCGAATCTGAAAATCAACAGTCCATCATATGTAAGTAATCTATTATAACTGAAAATATTAATATTAATTTAAAATCAAATTTAAAACCCTAATCTCAACTGAAAAGCAAATGATGGCTAAAAACCCTAATCCCAATTCACATTATTCATGGCTAAACCCTAATCATATTATAACTAAAAATTATTTATAAAATCCTAATCCCAAATCACATTATTCATGACTAAACCCTAACCCAAATCTCAATTGAAAAGCAAAAAACCCTAATCCTAAATCACATTATTCATGGCTAAACCCTAATCACATTATTCATGGCTTAACCCTAATCACAATACTCATGGTTAAACACTAATCCCAAATCTCAACTAAAAAGCAAATTTCAGGGCTAAACACTAACTCCCATTCATATACCTCATGAAATTTAACAACAAAATTAAAAAAATACATTGATCGGAGTTTGGTCGGCGGCGGTGGTCAGGAGCTTGGTCAGCGGGGGTCGGCGATGGGCGGCGGAGTCGAGAGAGGGGCGAGAGAGGGAGTCAAGAGAGGGGCGAAAGAGGGGAGGGGTCACAGGTACAGGAAATGAGGGAATGAGAGGGGTCACGAGTGGTGGTGTAAAAAGAATTAAATGCACGGGACTAGTCCCGTGCATTTCAATTGCTGACCAAACTACACGAGACTAGCAGTCTCGTGTAGCGCGAAAAACATCACAATTACAAAACCGACTCTTTTCTGAAGAAAATGATCAGTTTTGCAGATTATTTTGAGATGTTGTCAGTTTTGCTATATAAAATTGAAAAAAGAGTGCTTTTAAAAATTTGTCCTAAATAAATGATTACATACCTTTTTGCTGAATGGAATTTCTTTTTTGCTTGTTTGAATCACCATGGCTGTTCCTATAATGGGAAACTTTTCTAACAGATATTTCACTTCTTGTTTTTATCTTTTTCAACATGCTTGTTTTTATCTTTTTCAACATGCTTGTTTTTCATCTTTTCGAATGTTTTCTTCATTATTACTATTTTGGCATACACAACACAGCTCATACAATGACACAAATGCAAGAACACATTTAAGGGACTTTAGATTTATACAAAGGGACCCTGATGCGTTTGGCTGTCTTTCCACCGAGGAAAAGATTTACACGACGAAACTATCTAATGCTTCACAGAAGACTTCAAAAGCCGTAAGTTCACAAATTTACAATAGTTTGCAGTTTCATCGATTTGAATCTAAACATCACAATTGTTCTGTAGGTGTCTTCTTGAGCAGGAACTCTGGTTTGTATAACATAAGGTCAGCAAAACCATCTATATTTTATATCTAGTGTATATTGATCCTCCCATAAAATCCTTTTGCTTGTTTAATATCCAAGTCAATAATAAACACAACCACCCCAAGACTGTTGATCTCAGCGGATCAATATATGCTCATTTCTGCAATCATTGAAAACCAATAAGCACATAATAATCGAGTGAAATAAAAACACTAGAGACATTAGTTAAGGAGAACGTTAATTGCCTGCTGAGTCATAAGAATTTCAATGGCAACATTGGGGTCTCCATCAGCAGCGGTAAGAGCAACTTCAGCCTGTGTCTGCACAAAGTGAAGGAACACCAACTTCAAAAGATGAGCAAGGAGAATTTAACTGGGATCATAAACCATATACAGCAGATATTTTAATATGAAGTATATATCTGAACTCTGAAGAAATGGTAGGTTGGACTTTGAATTCAGACTTGAAACAAAAGCTGAACTACGTAAGTCAACCATATACATTATTCTTCTCACTGCCAGAAGCATGCCACCCTTATTCTGTTCATTGCCAAAGGCATGCTACACCTTTCTGATCAATCTGAGGATGCACTCTTATAAAGCCAGATATCCATTGGCATCAGATACGAGTCAGTCCGAATTTAAGGAGACAAATGATAAAACCTTTTCTTGTTAAGAGTCTGTATTTTTTATTCAGTGATGGTTAAAAGAGGAAAGGACTTTGTGGATTGTTTTCAATTGCTTGGGCATAGGAAAAACATCGGAAATAGTGAAATGGAAAAAAGAAAATGATAAATGGTTCTGTCCTTAGCCAGAAAGTTAAAATGCAAGTTTCACCGAAGATTTTCCCAAGATCTTGGATAACTGTTTTCAAGCTCCACGCCTTTCCCATCAATAATGATCATCCAGGGGCAAACTCTGCAATATAAGGGTCTGCGTATCCTTTCTCAGCATAACAATTTGGTTGCATTATTTTCAGTTATATATGCAATCATTCTCCCTTTCTTCTCACACATCAGACTCATTTTCGTTAACTAAAATGACTCAGCGAATAAGGTATACTGTTCCCCAGATAATCCTGCATGGTGTTTTCATGGTTACTGTGTTTAACAGACTCACTGGAAAGACACTTGAATTCAAAACTCCAAAATTCTTTGATTTGTGCTTCTGCTATATATGTTTTGTGTGTAGTGATTAATATGAGCATGGGCCAAGTATATAACTATGGATTTACCTTTTCAAACCCCATAGCTACCAACTTCTTTAGCTCTTCATCGAAGCTGTCCAAACCTTGCTTTAACATGAATAAAATTAAACTAGTCAATATACTTTGTCTTTAAGAACAAACAGTTAATAAAATACAAAAAATTAAGACTGCAAATTAGATGATGTACGTCATCTTGTGTAGCTAATGCACCAGCACCTCCAGCACTGAGAGCCAAATGCCTACTTGCAAGAAAAATGAAAGAAAAAAACATCAATTACATCTTGAAATATAGCTAGACAAACTTATCATGAAGGAGGTATGCGCTAAATATTTGTTATAGGACCAAAAGTATAAACACATTCACCATCTTCCTCAATATCATCATTAAGCCATTTTCCCTATCAAAATGAGAATCTCTTACTGAGTGAATGACTTAATTTTAATGATAGATGGGACCTTCATGTCAATTCTGTGTATTGGTCCAAACTTATACAAGTGGAACTAATGAAAAAAAGGCATGTCAATCCAAAAAGGTCACGTGGCAGGTAGAAAACCCTATTTTATTTGTCAATTTAAGCTTGTTCAACCAACAAGCAGACCACCAAAATTCTACAATAACAAAGAGACTGGACAAACGGAAAGAAAACCTGCCATAAGCTACTGTGTTCAACTGTACCGCATGACTTAAGTGGTAGGAAATATGATGCATCTCATCTCATAACTAGATTTTCCTAAAAACTTGCATGTAAATCAAAAGCTTGAAACCTAAGTTGCATGGGTACTGGTAGGGGTGTGTGTGTGCATGATGAGACAAATTTGTAAAAGGTAGGATATGGGAACACAACTGAAACTCATGGGATATAATCATAGTTCTGAGATATATATGTAAACAACCCTTTTAAATTGTAGTTCTTAAGGCTGAAACGAACTTGACCCTTATCCAACAAATTACAAAAATGGATGTGAAGTGTGTGTGTGTATCCAATTCAGTGTTATGACGGAAGCTTTAAACCAAACATGCATTGCATAATTGAATATTGGTCTGCATAAATATATGCATATATTTAAGGAGTGTCCAAGAAGTGTTGGGCATGGGTATGGGTAAGACACGCGTCCGGTACGGGTATGGATAGAGGTACGGGTCCATATTAGAAGTACCCAGGTAACATAGCTTGAAACTATATCAATTTACAAGATAATGCTGCCTATCACAGAAATCAGTAGCATTTAGCAGAACTAAGCTACAAAAGTGGAAGATCTGACCACTCTGTGCATGTGCTGGATCAATTTAATTTAAAGTGGACAGCTCTTTCATCACAAGGAAATTCGAAACTGACCAACAATGCAGTCCCAAAAAAAAACCACCGAACTCTGGAGGAGCAAAAATCACCCATTCTAGTCAAAATCATATGTAAATCCTACTTTAAGAAATCAGGACGGTGATCCTTGTACTCTGTAGAGAGAAGAGATAGAGGCTAGGAAGAAAAAAAAAATCTCCCACTACTTGCTCTGGGAAAAATCAGTTGAAGGTGGTTTCCCACTCTCACAAATCCTTTCCTGTACTGACGTATCCAAAATTTGAGTGGAGTGGATTGGGCAACATCTTCCCTAATTTGCGTTATTTGTCGTCTAGATAGATTCACCTAAGGACTTGTCTAGACCATCCATTAGGTTAGTTTCTCATAATGAATGAAATAAATGGTCAAGTTTGAATAACATAGAAATCAGGTTCACTTTTGTTGAAATTAACCAAATAACATAATACAGAGTACCTTGTGGAGGTTAAGTAATAGAGTGCTGGCACATCAGCATATTAAGCTATTATAGTGGAAAATAAAATGCCGATTACCTTGCATCTGATGTGTGTGCTCCTGTACTTCGGGGTGATGTTTCCAGCTGATGATCTTGTGATGAATCATCCAAGAGTCTAGCCTGCAAGCTCAAGTCAGAATCAGCTGCGGCGGTTGACTGTTCTCTTGTAGCACCCAGTGTTCTTCCCCTCCCAGGAAATCTGGGATCTTGTGCTGCCTACAACATACATATTAAGTTACTATACAAGCTGAAATTTAACACACCATGGATCTCATTTAAACCCTTCAATCACAAACCAACAAAAACACTAAAGCACGGAAAAAAAAGTAAAGAATGATGGGAACTAATTAAAAATAGTAATTCCGTCATTCTTAAAATGATCCCAGATTCATTCTTAAAAATAAGCACACAGGGCCAACTAAAATGATCATCCAACTTTCCTGCTTCGGAATCTCTCTTCATGCAACAATCAGCGAGCAGATACCATATGGCAAGATACAAGAGCACAAACAAAAATATTGGAAGTATCTTCTTCTCCGCTAAAAGGTAAACTGGTCATTGAAACCATGGAGATCATATTTAGTTTGGAATGCATCACAATTATAGTGCAGTCTAGTGATATTTCTTCAAACTTACACTCGATCAAAATAACCAACAAATCTCCAATATAAGAATTTCAGCATAACTAGATTTTGAAAATTTTGTGATACAAATGGATGTCACAATGCAGTATACCCCACGTAACTCAAAGATAGCTACTCCAGCTGTGAGTTAAAAAATACCTACCACATTCCGGAATTCAGTAGGCACATCAAAGGACAAACTTCATACCTTACAATGTTATTCATCATTCTTGAAGTTCATTTTTCGTGTTCTTGGAATATAGGGTCCAAAAGTATACTTCAACCAAAACCAGGCATGAAACTAAATAACTAAATCAAGCAACAAAAGTAAAGTACACTATAATAAATTAATTTACACAGGTATAGATCCACTTAGCAAAAGCTTTGAATCTGACAAATGACATTACATGAATCCTATATGGATGAAATTTAGCAAAACATACAAATAAAAAATAGACAGTAACTTAACAGACGGATCTCAGACAAAAAAGCATGGTGAAGTGAACATAAATTTAATATGCAGCATGCCTATGAACCTTTCATTGCCTTTTATGGCAAAAAACACCCTTCAGACTTGTGCATCATGCAACACCATACTAAAACTAGAAAGATCAGATTTGTAGTTTAATCTATATAAATCTCAGCAAAGAGGAAAATGCAAGTTCAAAGATAGCAAGCTATCCATGTTGACATATACATTGGTTATCCTCACAAGTCCAAAAGCAACAATTATGGTGAAACTCAACTACATTAAAAACTATAAGTTATTAAAGAAGGACAATACGTTACTGAGTTAACAATAATGCCAATTCATTACCACTTCTGTTGTTCCTCTCTGAGGCATCCACGAAGAGAGATTTCCCCACAAGTTTCCCGAGATCAAACTGCGATAGAGAGAGAGAACAATGAGATCAAATTTATCATAGAAGAGATGTCGTTAACAACATGGATACAATCAGTACCTAGATGGTGTGCTTGAGTTTGAATATGTTGGAAGGTTTCCATATGTAGCCCCTCCAGTGCACAAAATAAAGCCAGGACGCCTTATGCAAGATGACTGAAGAAATTACACCATTGAACAAGTTATGTCAATAGGTGAAAATAAATAAACAAACAAGTATATCACATGTATCAAGTAGAAACACTTCTACAAGCTCGTTTTTGTCATCTAAGAATTGTCCCATCAGAATAGGTCATCCATAAGCATCAAAGATCCATGACAAAATTTTATGCCATGTTTCAAACTCCTAAATAAGTGCAAAACTACTGAGTATGGAAAAAGAGGTAATTTCCATGAAGCTTAGTAGAGGTACCTATGCTTTTGATCATGTAATTTCAGATCCAGCAACTATGGAGCAACCTCCAAAATTTTCAAAGATCAAGAAAGTCTAAAAGAAGGATGATAATGGTTTTTCTATAGAGAATAATATTCAACTCTCAGCAATTAGGCAACAAACAAAAATATAGAGAGATTTAAGACATGTATAAAGCAAAAAAAAATGAAAAATAAAAAATAAAAAAATGAAGGCATGTGAAAGTTTTATGGCCATATCCAAAAGAATTGTATTTAAGTTTGTGCTGTGTGCATGACCTTACTAAGCTTGAGAATATCAGCACATTTTGCTCAAGTAAACTTACTAGCATTGACGAGCTCTCAATGGAAGAATAGAAAGATGGACCAGGCAGCAAGTAATTAAATAGCCCACAAGTGTCTGGTGCAAAAGAGAGACAATCTTATGTAAATTCCCAGTTCATTGTACTCAACAAGCTGTATAGCAAAAGAACAATAGGAGAAAAGGAGAAAGGAGAACAAACATGCAAACCCAGATAAAATGCCACATAAGTGTCCCAGTAAGGAAACATTAGTTGCTAAGAGCTGGAACAGTATCAACAAGATCCATGCATACCTGGGAATGGAAATGTTACTCAGTAAACATGTTGTAATTTATGATATTGGACTAAAAATCTAAAAACTTGAACATACAAAATAAATGGAAAGGAGGCGTACCATTTAGCAGGCACATTGAAGAGACCAAAAACACTGCAAAAGAAAAGATGGAAGCGTACGTCAATTATGAAAGTAAATATAATGAAGAACCTATGTTAAATATAATGAAGAACCTATGTCTAAATACTATGTTTTGATTTTAATGCTAAACTGAGAGTTTGATTATGGTAGAAACGTAGGAGGTGTAAGTGTCATGCTAATTTGCTAAGGCAAGGTAAGAAACAAGTGTTCCTCAATCCTCAAGACCATGAGTTCAAGGATAGAGTTTCATGCTTGATGCCTTTCAGCTACAAACTAGTATACTTATTCATGATTTCCTGATTTTCTGAAGCATGACCACTGTTATTAATCAGAAAATTTTCCCTTTAGGGAACAAAATATCAAACATGCATTAACATAATACAATTTAAGTTGGTAAAAAAAAGTCACAAACCTTCTCGATTGTACTCCACTCAAGCTTGTCTCAATAACAATCATAGAGAATAGGATTCCAGAGAAGCCGATGGCACACTCATCCATGACAAGATGATAGGGGTATACAGGATTATAAGCCACCAGTAAAGCTATGGATAGATGAAATATAGCATTGCTGGTTGCAAGTAAGAACATCAGATACAATAGGCGTACGGATCCCGTAATCCGCTCCAGTTCTGTCCCCAGAGGTACTAGAGCCAGCATGTTGAAAACAACATGCAATATCGATCCATGAAAAAGAACCGATGTATAAATTCTGTAAACTGAGAGGGGTAAGGAACTTAAATTAGAGTTTGATATAGATGTCATAAGAAAAAGGTACCTTAAGTTAGAATTTGATATAGATGTCATAAAAATGAGGTACATGAATGTCAGCTCTTAGTTTATACTACAGCATCATGAAGAAAAACATAAGCTTTCAAGATAAAGAGCAGCTGATTTTTCATTCATAAATAATCTTTTAAGCTTGTTCCCCGAAGAAACTTTATTCAGTTCAGCAATTGTCTACTCATATTCGAGAACAAAAAGAGCTTACCTTCAAACCTAGAAACCACTGCAGAAGGCAAGAAGCATACACTGAAGAAGGAGTCGTAACCAAACAACAAGCACACAAGGTAGATTACCCCGCAGATTATTACCACACCAGAGGTAATGAATGGTACACTAGTCCACCATTGATTCAGCCTTGTCGAAATTCCAGCCTATAAACAGGTAAACATTATCAAAGAATATTAACAAAAAAGAGGTATGTAATAAAGAAATAATATATAATGTTGCACTGATCATGACAGCGAGGAATTAGATCCAACTTCCTTTAGTGCTGCACACACCTTATAGACGTTATTCTTGTTTGTTAGGTCTCAATCAAGAGCAACATCACCAACACTTATGAAGGTTCGACAAATGATCCTTGATACTGTTGATATTGGCTTGAATTTGGCCAAATGGCTGGGACCCATTTGTTTTGAAAGGGAGAACACAAAACTTGTCTTTGGGAGGGGCGTTGTCAATCGCCCTCACTTCAATTCTCTCTCAAGTTTTTCCAACAATTACGGCTGATCTAATTTGAGCCAAAGAAACATCAGCCGCTTGAAATTGATATAGCCCTCACTTCGGGTAAAGAAAGGTCAAATTGAGGTGGCCCCTGTTGGATTCTCTATATCTCTCATTCTCTCTTAAACTCTCAGTGGGTTTTACAACGAGTAAGAAGAGAGCTACACAAAACAGAGTCCTCTCAAATTTTGTATGTGCGTTGTATTGAGAGATTGAATATAGTGAAACTCCTCTCTTGCCGTAGACGTAGATCAATTTGATCGAACCACGTAAATATTGTGTGTTTATGATTGTTTCTCTATTTTCTGGTTTTGTGTTTAATTATCCCAACAAACTGGTATCAGAGCTTCTCGGTTCTAGGACAGCTTTCAATCCTCCACAATGGCTTCTGTGAAATTCTCGGTGTCGATCTTCGATGGCCAGAACAATTTCGGCCTATGGAGAATAAAGATGAAGGCTTTATTACGATGTGAAGGCACGGTTAAAGCTATCGATGGGAAATACCCAGAAAATATGACTAGTTTCGAGATCGAAGAGATGGACGAAAAGGCTCACAGCGCCTTGCAATTGTCACTATCTGACAAGGTGCTTCGCGAAGTTGCCGATGAGAAAACGGCAACGGGGTTGTGATCAAAGCTTGAAAGTCTTTACTTGAAGAAATCTCTTACTACGAGATTACACCAGAAGCAGCAGCTATACACATTGAAGATGAAGGAAGGTACACCCATTCAGGAACACCTTGATGATTTTAATAAAATTGCCATGAATATGAAAAACCTAGATCTAAAGCTTGATGATGAAGACCATGCTCTCATTGTGTTGTGTTCCTTGCCTGACTCTTATGAAAACTTTGTTAAGTCTATGTTGTATGGAAGAGAATCCATAAGTCTTGAGGATGTGAAGGACTCTTTGAATTCTGCTGAGTTAAAAACAAAATTGAATGGGAGAGGTACCGATAGGCAGGCTGATGGTCTGCTAGCCAAAGGTAGAACGAGAAGACCAAAGAGGGTGATAAAGAGCAATCCAGAAATCGTTCAAAGTCCAGGTCCGCCCAAAATAAGAAACATGTGGAGTGTTTCTACTGTCACAAGAAAGGGCATTAAAAGTCAGAATGCTATGCTCTAAAGAAAAAAGATAACCAGCGTGGTGAAACCTCAGATTCAGCTAATACGACAAAGGTTGATACTGACGTTGTTGCTGAGACGGTTCTTACAGTTTATCCCTTGGATGGCCGTTCCGATAGAGAATGGATCTTAGATACGGGTGCGTCTTATCATATGTGTCCAAATAAAGATTGGTTCACTACTTATAGACCTATAAGTGGTGGATTAGTTTTGATGGGCAACAATGCAGTTTGCAAGACAGTTGGCATTGGTACAGTTCGCATCCGGTGTCATGATGGGATAGTGAGAACTTTATCAGATGTGAGACACATCCCGGACTTAAAGAAAAATCTGATTTTTTGAGTTCTTTGGATTCTATTGGGTGTTCTTACACTGGTTATGGTGGAGCTCTTAGAGTTACTAAGGGTTCATTGGTTGTGATGAAAGGTAGTAAGGTGAACAGTCTTTATGTTCTCCAAGACAGTACGGTGACAGGCTCTGCAGGCGTGTCCTCTGATGCTGATAGGGACACTACTCAGTTGTGACGCATGCGCTTAGGCCACATGAGTGAAAAGAGGATGACTATTTTGAGTAAACGTGGCTTACTCTGTGGTGACAATACATCATCACTGGTTTTCTGTGAGCATTGTGTGTTTGGGAAGCAAATTTGGGTCAGCTTCTCGACTGACTCACATACAACGAAGGGCACTCTCGACTACATCCATTCAGATTTGTGGGGACCTGCTCAGGTTCCATCCAAAGGTAGTGCTCTTTATTTTCTGACGTTTATTGATGATTTTTCTAGAAAAATTTGGGTTTACTATCTCAGGCGCAAAAGCGAGGTGTTCGAAACTTTCAAGAAGTGGAAAGTACTTGTTGAAAATCAAACTGAAAAGAAGATTAAACGTCTCCGAACAGATAATGGCCTAGAGTTTTGCAGTGGTGAGTTCAATCAGTTCTGCTCAAATTCTGGAATCATACGTCATCGCACGGTCAGGCACACTCCTCAGCAAAACGGGGTGGCAGAACGCATGAATAGAATGTTGACGGAGAGAGCTAGGTGTATGCTCTCAAACTTTGGGTTAGATGAAGACTTCTGGGCTGAAGCTGTGTTGCTGTTAACACAGCTTGTTACTTGGTGAATCGGTCTCCTTCTACCGTCATTGAACACAAGACTCCAAATGAGGTATGGTCAGGTAAACCAAATAACTATTCAAATTTAAAGGTATTTGGATGTCCCGCTTACTATCATGTTAGAGAGGGTAAGCTTGAGCCTAAAGCTAAGAAATGCATATTTATTGGTTATGATGATGGCGTTAAAGGCTATCGTTTGTGAAGTCTTAAACCTGATTCTCCTAAATTCATTATTAGTAGAGATGTTACTGTTTGTTGGAAATTTGATGCAAAAAGACAAAGAAAGAAAATTTGACTTGTATTCTCTCAAAATCGATTCACAATTTGGATTCCGATTACAAAAAGAGGAGACTGAATTTATGTCTCCCTATTGTTTAAACTGGTTCTTCTTGGTAGCGGTGGAGTGCCTCCTTCGATTGAATCGCGTCGACTTGCCTCCGTTGACGATCCGCACCGTCCTTTCTTCACTGGAACAATTGAGTGCTTGGATGACTGTCGTTTTAGAACTCTTAACGGTGTACAAGACTCTGAACGAGTTAAGAATCTGATAAGAGTTTGTTGAAAACCGATGTCTGTGTTTATGTGATTAACTTGCGTTGCAAGCTAATTAAGAACTCTTTAACGAGTTTAAAAGTAAGCTCAGAATGAGTTAGAACTCTGTAAACATGAGTTGTTGGACGACCAGAAAATTTGGTTTAATTGCCAGTGGATGGATACTATTGATTGAATGAAGGCATCTTCGGTTTGATTAACTGACGTTGAATCAAGTTCTTGTCTCTCGAAGATCTCGTTCCTTCTGATTACTCAATGCCGAGATTTGGTTGACATGTGTGGTTTATCCAGCCTCCCCTCACTCTTTGCGGTGTTGATCTCGAGAAACCGATTGACTCAACCTTATCAACCCGCCAACCCCGTTACTACAGTTTAGTAAAGTTGGTTATTTTATAGGGTGATTGGAGTGTAACCAACCCCTAATTATCCGCTCCTTTGTGGGCGAGTATCCCTCAGAACGTGGGAATAACAGCTTTGAGGCGTTCGACTTGCTTTGACAAGTCAATAGAAACGCCTCAGTTGCGTTATGGGACTTAACTCGTGCGTCCAACGGCTGAGATGCAGAGTTAAATCTCTGTAAAAAAAAATGAGATTTAGACGCACAGCCGTTCGTTGACGCTCAACTCCTGCGTCCAGAGTTTGGGACCTGTAGTTGACCCTATTGAAAGGAACGCACCGTTATGTATGTGGGTTTGTTGCTTGACTCTGCGATTGGCAGAGTTACGACAATTCGCTGGACCGAAACGCACAAGTTGTGTGCTTCGAATTTAGAAAACGCGAATTTAAACTTCTACGTTTGATAAGGAGGTTGTTGAACTTGTAACATCGTCTTGCCTGACATTGCGAGGCATTGTTATTGGCTTTGCTGTTATAAGATATGAGATCGATCGATTGTAACTCTCACTCAACGATCGTGAAGGCCACTGAATAGAGGTTTGTCATCAGCTGTCGAAGTCGTCGTAAATTGAACTCTTCTCGATCTGTTAAGTCCTCTATTTGCCCTTTCGACTGTCGGACCCCGAAAGCCTATTTGATTGTAGCTTTTTGTGCAGAGCTTAGGGAATCAACATCACTAGGGTTTTGAGATGGATAGATTTGCCCAGCTCTCTACCAAGCCGACTCCAACTAACCAACCTTTAATTTCTGAATCATTACACTGCTCATTCAGCTCTCTAATATTGCTAATATAATATTAGTCTGCTGTTGTCGCAGCCATCAAGATCAATTCCTCTAGAGATGAGCTTGTTTATAGCGATTGCAGAGTTGCGGATGCAAGTGATTATGAAAGTCGTCTGATTGTAACTCCCATGTATCAGGCTTGATAAGAAGATCTACAGCCTATCCATTGTGATTTTTAGTAACAGCCTACAAGAACCCCATCCAAAGTTTCGAAAGTTCGCGGTTGACTGTGGACGAATTTTCGGAAATACTTTGGTCTCAAATTTAGAAAGACTGCTGTCAGAACTTATAGTTGAGTTGGATCTAATTGTATCATCCAATGGACTCTCTTGTGGGCGTCACTTATTTCTTCTTGGCTTTTAGTCCTTTGATAGATGACATTACCTCCTCTATTTATTTTGGAACCATGTCTTGCTATAAATAGAGGAAGTCTGTGGTTGAGTCAGAACGCACAGATAGGAATATTCTTGCGTTATTTGACTGAAAGAGGTAAATTCTGCGTTTAAAGGGATTCCATCAATGTAGATGCACGCGATTATAACGCAGGGTGAATTCTGCTTCAGAAGCTCGCGTACCAGGCGCACAGGCCACGTTTGGCGGGATTTTGGCCTAGAACCCGACCCGATTTGACAGCTCATAGCTGTCCATAAATAGACTCTGCTAAGCGGTCAATCAAAAGT